TAAAGATATAAATACGAATATATTTTTTAATTTTTTTTAAATAAATAGTTGTTCTTAAATTATAAAAAAGTTTAATAATTCATTTATTTTTGATTTCATCTAATAAAATAATTTATTTAGAAATCTGAAGAAAGAAAAAAAAAATCTATTGTGGTCCATTATATATATATATATTTATATATATATATATATATATATATTATAAAAAAAATTAGTAAAAAAAAAAGCAAAAAAAATTTTATATAAGAATAATGGTTTTTACTGTTAATTTATATTTTTCATAATGTCGGAAATATATCCATATATTTGCTTATATATATATATATATATATATATATATATATATATATATATATATATATATATTTCAAATTTGTATTTATTATTTATTCTAAAATAAATAGAATGTTCCAAAAAAAATAACTTTTTTCTAAATATTGTTTGATTTTTTTTAAATATTGGTTTCCATTTATGGCATATTCAAATGAATTGGTTATTTAATAAATTTTGTTTTTCGTAAATCGATCGCATGAAGAGAATATGTAAAATTCTTTTTCAATAAATCAGTTTGTAATCAGGTTTGGTTTATTTTGTTTTTGCCTAGAATATTAACCTCAACGTAATAATAGAATATTAAATTCTTTTTTGATAAATCAATTTGTATTTCAGGTTTGGTTTATTTTCTTTTTTTAAACATATATAACCTCAAATTATGAATAGAATATGTATTCTTTTTGAATAAATAAATCAGTTATGATCAATTTAATGATTTATTTTGTTTTTGGCATAATTTTTTCTTTGTTTACAACATAAATATTATTTTTTTTTGTTTTGAGGCATTTTATTTCACATCAAATTTTGATTTATTTTTGATTTTACAATATATTGACCTCAATTGGTTATTTAATACCCATACCTATTTTTATAAAAGATTCTAATATCTAGTTATGTATTTTGGTTTAAAATTCAAAAATGGTTTAAAATAATTATTTTAAAAAAAATGGATCATTTTGATTCATTTGAATAGAATTTTGATTTTCATATTTAATTTTTGATTGGATTATTTTTTAGAATATCAACCTCAATATTTATTTTTAAGCTGGATTGAATTAAAATAATTGAAAAAAAAAAAGAATATCAATTTTTCAATTTGAAAATTTAAAATTTTTGTTTTTAAAATTCCTTTTTTAATTTTTTAGATTCATATATGGATAAAATTTGTATTAATATGAATATGTATTTGGTTTAGATTGGTTTGATGTTTTATTTTTTTTTAAATTAATATCAACCTCAATTTTAAATTTAATGCCGAATGATTTAACATTTTAGGAAAAGATTTAAATTTGAATAGAATATGTATTCTTTATATTTTTAGATTTGTTTTATTTATTTAATTTTTTGAAATTGTCGGCATATCAACCTTCAATGGGTTATTTAATTTTACAACATTTTTAGGATAGATTCGTATGAATAGAATATAGTATTCTTTTTAATAATTGGTTTGGTTTATTTTTTTTAAAGCATATCAACCTTAATGGGTTATTTTTTTATTTCTTGACAACATTTTTTATATAGATTTGTTTTTAATAGAATATGTATTCTTTGGTTTTGATTTGTTGGTTTGGTTTATTTTGTTTTTGGCATATCAATCTCAAATGGGATATTTTTTAATGCCGACAATATTTTTAGGATAGATTAATATAAATAAAAAAATGAATTATTTGTAAAAAAAAATTTTTAGATCAATCATTGGCTTATTTTGTTTTACGGCATATCAATTTATATCGGTTTGTTTATTGCTGAATAAAAATTTTGTATATTGTTCGTGTGGCACCATTTAACGAGGCAGAAAAAAAAAAGAAAGAAAAGAAGAAAAAAAGAAAGGGCTAAGGACCGAATCGTGGATGATAAGCAACAACACACACACGGCTAAGAGACAATGGATAAAGGATATTTTGATAAGTAACAAATGGCGAAAGGGTGTCATTACAATGACAGGGAAATTCTGAGTAAAAAAAAAAGGAAAGAAAGAAAGAATCAGATATGTTTTGATAACGGCTGTGTTATCTAAGGATATGAAAACAAACTATTGGTACGGGAAGGCATCTTATTATCAACTACAGACCGACTGGCCAAAGAAAAATTCAAATGAAAATGTTATTTCGATAAGTGACGAAAAACAGGCAACTAAAAGGACTTTGGACAGATATGAAAAAAATTAAAAAAAGCCACCACACGAGTGTCCACTGACCGATTTCTTTCGACGGAACATCTTTGGCCTGCGATAATAAAATTATGTTATCAGAAATATGTACCGAAAAAAAATGAATGGGAACCCAGAAATGTTTTTTTTTTTCGGGGACGACGTTGGCCGTGTTAAAAAGACCACCCATTCGGATAATTAGCGATAAAATAATGACGAAAACCACGTGTAGAACAAGAGTTATGACCAAAGAATTGTTCATATTGTCCGTTTGCGGCTAGAGAAATGATAACGGCG